TTTTCGTAATTTTTGTTTATGCTTAATTTCCCTTATATTCAATCCAATTCTTATCAGTCATAATTTCTTCATGTTAGTAATCTGTCCAAATTTTCCCATTTAAGTACATCATCCCAATATTTTATGTATGCATTATAAAAATACTGTACTTTTTATCTATCTTATAGTATCTAGATATAACATCCTTTTTAATCAGTTTATATTTCACTTATATTAATAAAAGTTATATCAACCTGCTATTTTTATATTTCATATATTATGGAACATACTATATTACTTAAAACTCTTATCCCTCTTGTTATAGGGCCCCTTTATGTTCAAAGTTCTCTATTCTTTTAGCTATATTCAATAATAATGATGATGATGATGATAATAATAATAATAATAATAATAATAAAGTTGGAAGGGACCTTGGAGGTCATCTAGTCCAACCCCCTGCTCAGGCAGGAAACCCTATACCATTTCAGACAAATGTTTGTTCACGTAATAGTCTATCTGGTAGGGCGAATCAAATCTCTTGTATCTGTCCCTGGTCTTCTTCTTTTGCCGAGTAGTTTTCCAAGTTGATGTAATCCGCTTACCCGGCAATTCCTGTATTTTTGCAAATGTTGTTGGGAATACAAAAGATGGAGTAAGTAAGATGTATACTTTCTGTCTCCCAAACTTTGATGGTTCTCCTGGTAATTCTATAGTCTATTCCATTTTTCTTGTTGTATCAGGACCTTGTAGATTTTTTCCTGTTTGTGTTAAATTGTAATTCTTTTAATTTGTTATTTCATCAATTTGATCATATTCTTCTAATTTGTAGTCTGTTATCTGATTTATTTGTTCATTCGATGTTATTTCCTGGGTGTTTTTAATTGTAGATTTAGATTGGAAATATGCTTATTTAAATCATCAGAGTTGTTTCGAATTTCCTCGTGGTTTGAGTCTGTTGTCATTTATATTTGTCCTAAAATTACATATGTTTCCTCCTGGAAAGTATTTATCTTGCCTTGAAATATTACTTCTGGAAGCTCTTGATTTTCCAGGCTAAGTCCTTCAGGAGAAAATATTGAATGTGGCATCCTGTCATTTTTTGATACGTATGTGATATCCATGTTGTTTCCCCCCTTCAATTAATCTTTCATCAATATTTTAATTCAAAAGTCAATTTATCAGTCAGTCAAAATTACAGTTCAGTGTGTTAAGCCACTTTAAATCCTTTCTGTAAATTCTCCCCTAGAAGATTAGCCAAAAGCCAAGGTTTTTCTTTTCCATAAACAGCTCTTAGATTTAAGCAACAGTCCAGGTGTTTTGTTTTCTTTCAGACACTTTTTAATCTTATAGCTGGCTCTTTCTTTGTTCCCAGCTATCTTCAAGGTTATTTGCAATTCAAAAGAACAGCTTTTTCTTTATTTCTAGGCATTCTGCCAGTTTCTGAGTCCTTATTGTTAGTATTCTATACTCTGATTCTCCACTAGATGTCAGTAGTTATTTCTTTTTTCAGTTTTTTTTAAATCAAAAAGTTGTTTTTGTTATATATTTTTATAATTCCAACAAAAACTCTTTAGGGTATAATCTTGTCAGTTTCTTAGTTCCTAGATTTGTCCAGACTGTAGTATTTTAAATCAAATTTTAGTATATCTCTTTCCTCCTTAATATTAATTCGCCGCTTCCGTCTATAAGGGAATGGGGATATAATCCCCTCCCTTCACTTCCGGAGGTTTCCTTGCTTTGGGGATCTTTCTCAAGGATTCAATTAGTAGATAGAAGAAAGAAGATCAGTACTCTCACCAATTCCAAGCACGCTGTTCACCGATGTTCAGGTTCGTGCTCTGGGACTTCGGCTGCAAGTAGCTTGGGCTAGATGCTGATCTCATACTAGCCTTTCTCCTGTCGGGTTCGGAGGGCTTCCCCCAGATCAAACAAAGTGATCGCCGTTGCTTCGTGATCAATGGGGCGCCCCTCTTTCACGGTCACTTTTTTGGGGCGACTTCAGACCCATCTAGGGTCCCCCTGGCAGGACGAAACTAGCCATGGGGAGCGGAGGTCTGCTCTCGCGCGGCCATGCACTACGGGCGCAACACCGGAAGTCCAGAAATGGCAAAATTTAACCTCCAATATACTCCTTTCCAAATACCCTTTTTACTGTTAAAAACTAGAGAAGGCATAAATATTGTTAATAATAATAATAATAATAATAAAGTTGGAAGGGACCTTGGAGGTCATCAAGTCCAACCCCCTGCTCAGGAAGGTAACCCTATACCATTTTGGACAAATGGCTGTCCAGTTTCTTCTTAAAAATTTCCAGTGTTGGAGCATTCACCGCTTCTGGAGGTAGGTTGTTCCACTGGTTAATTGTTCTAACTGTCAGGAAGTTTCTCCTTAGTTCTAGGTTACTTCTCTCTTTGGTTAGTTTCCATCCATTGCTTCTTGTCCTGCCTTCAGGCGCTTTGGAAAATAGCTTGACTCCCTCTTCTTTGTGGCAGCCCCTGAGATATTGGAACACTGCTATCATGTCCCCCCTCGTCCTTCTCTTCATTAAACTAGACATACCCAATTCCAGCAACNTCTTTCTAGAGTCTCAACATCTTTTTTACATCGTGGTGACCAAAACTGGATGCAGTATTCTAAGTGTGGCCTTACCAACGCATTGTAAAGTGGTATTAATACTTCATGTGATCTTGATTCTATCCCTCTGTTAATGCAGCCTAGCACTGTGTTGGCTTTTTTGGCAGCTGCAGCACACTGCTGGCTCATATTTAAATGATTGTCCACTAGAACTCCGAGATCCCTCTCACAGTTACTACTATTGAGCAAGGTACCCCCTATACTATACCTGCACATTTGGTTTTTCTTGCCTAAATGTAGAATCTTTCCTTTTTTCACCATTGAATTTCATTTTGTTAGATAGCGCCCAGTGTTCAAGTCTGTCCAGATCCTCCTGTATCCTAAGTCTGTCTTCTGGAGTGTTGGCTATTCCTGCCAGCTTGGTGTCATCTGCAAATTTGATGAGTTCCCCATCTATCCCTTCATCCAAATCGTTGATGAAGATGTTGAAGAGCACTGGGCCCAGAACAGAGCCCTGGGACACTCCACTATACACTTCCCTCCATGTAGACGTGGTTCCATTGAGAACCACATGCTGAGTACAGCCAGTCAGCCAGCTACGGATCCATCTGGTGGTGATGCTATCTAACCCACATTTTTCTATCTTATCAAGTAGTAGTTTGTGATCTACTTTGTCAAATGCCTTACTGAAGTCCAAGTAAATTATATCCACAGCATTCCTCTGGTCCACTAATTTTATCACTTGGTCAAAAAATGCAATAAGATTTGTCTGGCATGATCTGTTTTTGACAAACCCGTGTTGGCTTTTAGTAATGACTTTGTTTGCCTGTAGGTGTTCGCTGATTCATTGTTTGATTATCTTTTCCAGAATCTTCCCAGGTATTGAGGTCAGGCTGATAGGTCTGTAGTTTCCTGGATCCATTTTTTTCCTTTTTTGAAGATGGGAACTACATCAGCTCTTTTCCAGTCCACTGGTAGTTCCCCAGTGCTCCAGGATCTTTGAAAAATCTAGTTCAGTGGTTCTGAGATCACATCTGCCAGTTCCTTGAGAACCTTGGGGTATAATCCATCTGGTCCTGGTGATTTGAACTCGTCTAGGCTGGACAGGTGCTCACCATTTTCTTGCCTATCTTAACTTGTGTTTCTATTCTGTTTTTTATGGCACTATTTTTGATAGGTCGGTCTGTTTTTTCCCTTTGTGTAAAGACAGATGCGAAAAATGAGTTAAATAGTTCTTCTTTCTCCCTGTTGCTTGTCACCTTCTTGCCACTTTCACCCACTAATGGACCAATCGTTTCCTTCACTATTTTCTTGTTTTTTACATGTTGAAAGAAGCTTTTTTTTGTTATTTTTGACTTTGGTCGCAAGCCTTAGTTCATTTTGAGCCTTAGCTTTCCTCACTTCATCTTTGCAGACTCGGGCTATTTGCTGATATTCTGACTTAGTTATGTGTCCCTCTTTCCACTTTCTATACTTGTCCTTTTTATCTTTCAATTTATCAGAGAGTTCTTTATGCAGTCATGCTGGTTTCTTTTGAGAGCTGTTATTTTTCCTCTTTGTTGGTATTGTGCTAGACTGGGCTTTTATTATCTCACTTTTCAAAATTTCCCAAGCTTCTTGAGTTGTTTTCCCCTGGAGGATTCTCATCCATGGAATCCTTCCCAAACCCTCTCTAAGTTTATTGAAATTAGTTCTCTTGAAGTCCAAGACTCTAGTTTGACTGTGTTCTATTGCTTGTGCTTCCATAATGTTGAATTCCAATGTTGCATGATCACTTCCTCCCAAGGTTCCTATAGCTTCAACACCTTCTATCATTTCATTTTATTTTTATTTTTTTAAATAGTATTTTCAATAAGTACTAGAGCTGGCTTCTCTCTTGACAATGTAATATGAACTCAGAATAAAGAACATAATAATAAACTAAGTTACAATGACAATAGTTATTATTTTAGTGCCTTTTAGTTTACATCTGATTGCTAAAGTGATTTCTGGCTGATTATAAAGAGTAATGTACAAAATAACCATTGAAGCAATTGACAACCATCTTATTTTTTATCATACAATACAGTTCAAGTATTATTACTGCACAAGAAGTTAATAAAACAATGAAATTAAAAGAGAATAATAGCTCTTATCAAATTAAGTATAGTATAATCTGATGGATGGAGAGTCTAATCTTGTCTTAGGCTGAAAAAAATACTGATTTTCTGTTGGTTTTTTTGACCAATGGTGACTCTTCTGCAAAAAAATACATTGTTAGAATGCATAAAGCTAAAGACCCTATCTTAAAGAGAAAAGGATGCTAATAAATGAAATACGTACGTAAATAAATAAATAAATAAATAAATAAATAAATAAATAAACACATTGAAGATCATATAATTCAGTAAAAAAATGAATATGAAATGGGCATTTCTTTCATTTTTCTCCACTTCTGTTGCTTCTAGGATTCTACTTTAGCTGGATCCACAACCATGGCTGGACCCAGAACCAGTGCAATTGTGGGAGATCAAGGAACGCCAGCAAAGGTCCAACTACCACTCAATATGTAAGCAGAAGTTTTGCTCTGAAGAGCAATGTATCATTTTGGCTTTATTATTTGGAGTTTGAAAATCTCATCATGGTTATGACTGGTTTGGATGAACCAGCCTTTTGTCAAAATTGAAAAGTGATGAGTGAAAAGCCAGGTCACTTGTATCCACAGGTTCATGACAATTTTAATTTCCAAGTTACTTATTATAGTTCTGTGAATGATTACTTGGCAGGTATTGTTGCTATCAAATAGAGAAAATCATTAATATCATAAATAAGTGGTTCTCAACCTTTTCTTCTCCATAGACCTCCTTTAAATACTGTTTGTGGCCACAAACCACCAAGACTTAACTCAAGATTTAAATCATAACATTTCTTCAAGCCTTCGCAGACCCCTCTGTTCACAGGTTGAGAACCACTGTCATAAATGATATTAAACATTTATGAAACAATATTCCTACACAATGTAATACCTAAAATTATATTCCATTAGAAAGAGTGGTTCATAAAATAAAATTCTTCCAGTTATGTATTTAGGGCAGTAAATGATGTTACATTAGCATGGTATGTATAAAAAAATTAGTTTCAGTGAAAGATACTAAAAAAGAATAATTATATATTGAAATTAAGTACACAGTCAAGGGGAAAAATACCAAGCACAAAATCAGTTTTCTTTTCCTTGGATCCAACACTTTTCTTGTCAGCTGCAAAATTCCCTGAAAAAATTTCCATTCAAAATAGTCTGATTAGTTTTGGAGACGGTGAGTGTCATTCACCCATTTCTTCAGTACCTTATTCGTTTGTTTATGTGCTGCCCATCATGTCTATCTTTATATAACCTTACCAGTTCTAGCATTTTTTCTGCCACAATGTCCAAAGTGACAGAAAATGCTTAGTGACATATAGTAGTGAGGATAACTGCACACGTAGTGCAGGAAAACTAATGTGAGATTACTAAAACAAATAGCAGGTACAAACTGCATTATAGGGAGTCCTCATTTAACAACCACATTAGGTTTATTTAATGACCAGCAACTAGTTCATAAAATGAGATTGTGACAGCTTCTGATCTTGTTTCAGCTTTCTTTGGTTTGTAGACATACAAAAGATTGGTCACTTTTGGTTACTTTTTCATCATTCTAAGCACAAATTCTCACTAAACGAGACAGTCACTAAAAGAGCACTACACATATATATATATATACATACGTAACACATACCATGAGTACTTAATTATGTATGTTTAATTAACTAGCTCTGTCTTTGGTTTTTCTGTAAATTGTCCGCAATATTCCACTTGACAAATTGTAGAATCTTTTAATATGTGTAAGGAAAAGGAAAATAAGCACTTTTATGCTGCTAAGCACTAAAAAACCAGACTTCACTTCAAAAGTGTATCACAAACTCATAAGATGACATCAATCATAGCACCATGAATTTGACATTTTAAAATCAGTCACAGTTGAACCCCTATAGCCGAAAATTAAAGTTGAAATGCAATTCTACCTCACAACTATTAATGCTGAATATTGTAGATTGAAACTGTATCAGTTAACTCATAATACCCAGACAACCAGCATCACAAAAAAACCAAAGTTCAATTCTGTTTTCTAATGCTACTGGGTAGTCAAAGATAGCTGTGGGTTTTACATTTTGTTCCAAGTGGCTAGTACTGATTGCATTAAAAACAGACAATGTGCTTGAGCTAATTAACATAGTTCACTGCACATAGACTGCCAAAACATAATGTGACAATAATTCCTCAAGCCTCTTGTGAAAAATAGACATTAATTATTTGATCAGGATGCTGCCTACTGGAACCATTTGATAAATCAAGGCAAAGAGTGCCTCAAGGAATTGTTAAAAGATATGAGCAGTCTAATAATTATTGCTGTTTATTTTTTGCTTGTAGTAAGAATGCTTACTGCACACAGGGACAAAATAAAAAAGCAAGCAACATTTATTTTTCAACTTATATTTTCTAGAAAGCAGAAAAATTAAGGCCTCATGTGTATTGGTTACAGTCTGTATTCAAACTGAATTATGTGGTTTAGTATTTTTTTAAACTGCTATGTGGAGGACATTCTAGTTTTACACCTTCCAGTAATTACAAAAAAAATCACATGTAATTTAGGCAAGCCAATATAGTTGTATATGCAGTATAACTTATTAGGAGTGTGCACACAATAGAATATGCAATATATTTGTTTTGAACTTGAAACAAACCTTCATATCCCAGAGGTTCTGCCAAACCATTTTGAATTGGCTAATGTTCTGGCAGAATTATTATTGTTTTGGGATTTTGCTGAAAGATTGGTTGTTCTGAAATAAAAATCCAGAAGAATCTTGGCAAGTGATTTTATGGGACAAAGAAGGCAGAGCTGTTACATATCATCCCTGCTCTTCTCCATGGCCAGAGATATCTGAGCACATAGCCCATCAGCCTGCCTGTGCCCAGACTTTTAAGTGCCTTCCCTTCCCTCCCTTCAGTTGTTTTCCTCAGCTACAAGTCCCAGTCTCCCAGGACAACAATGTCCCATCAAACCACCCACCGTGGTTTTCAAGGACTATCCCTCTGATATATAGGGAAACTTAAAAACTATAGTTTTTAAAATGATTTCTGGTAATTTTAGAAATACTATTTTTATTTGTCCTTTAATTCAGCTGCCTATTTTTAAAGTGCTAATTATCTTAAAAATATATTACGTAGAATTACTTGACTGTTGTGCCATTTCTTCACCATGATTTGCTTTTCATTTTGATAATCGGTATCCAGCTAAACTTAGTTATGGGCATCCTATTTTTGAAATCTGTAGACAAATTTCCAATTAATGCTCAATGTGTCAATGTGTTAAGTATCTTGTAGCTGTTTGGATGGAATTTTCCCTTCTTTTTTCTTATATTATTTTGCTGGTTAATAATTTTAATAATAATTGCTCCCCACTGAGTAAATAAATTTAGCAATAACAGGTTTTTTATGTTAAAACAAAATATGGTTTACTTGCTATGTGCGTTTTCACCTTTACCCTTTAATTAATTATATATTTATCATTTTTGACAGATATTTGGCATTATATGCCTACAAACCTCAGAAGACAGATGAACTAGAACTACGTAAGGGTGAAATGTATCGTGTTATCGAGAAGTGTCAGGATGGCTGGTTCAAAGGGACATCCTTGAGAAATGGCATGTGTGGCGTCTTTCCAGGCAATTATGTCACTCCTGTCTCCAGGTGAGAAGCAATGTGGGAGGTTTAGTAATCTGATGTCACTACCTCCCAAAGGAAGGAAATAAATCCCCAAATGTGTCTTCCCTGAGTTGCATTTCAGATATTTGTATTGTTATTATTTTCAGTTCCATAATATTTTTATCATAGTATCCACACAAATGCTTTGTAAGAACAGTTTGTGATGCTGAAGGGTTGTGCCTGATCTCCCACTTGTATCTTCACAGTGAAGCACATGTTCATCCTGTCTGTGATCTCAGACTGATATCTATATACAGAGGTTGCTCATAGCTAGGCAAGGAAAGACTATATATCTAAACTGCTGCATGTGGTAGAAATTACACAAAGATAAGTAGAAAATCTGTATGATTCAGTGACCAACTAAAATGCCCATTGTTTCTGTTTCCTACTTTTGGCATAGTTCATGTTTTCTTTAAAAGACATCAAACAGATTTTTTTATGCAAGTACTAGTACAGCCTACATTTCTTCTCAACACCAGAAGTAAGGATTTCTGACTAGCTTTTCTCTCTATAAAAGAGTAAAGATTGCCTATTTTGGTGGCTACTTTCTCATGAGGCATAATGTGCTGTTCCACAGGTAGTCCTCAACTTATAACTGGTTGTTTAACAACATTTACGACAGCTATGGAGTGGGTGCTTTACAGCCTGTAAACTATTCCCCAGCCATTGTAAATGGTTTCACTGTCTCATCTGGCAACTAGTTTGGATGTTTCACAATGTTTTGGCCAGTTTCTGGGGGGAAAAAACCCTATTCAAATGAATGAATTCGCACTTATAACCACCAGTTTTGCTTAATAACCATTGCAAAGAAGGTCATAAAATCACTTGTGGTCACATGAGCATCTCAACCATAACAGCTTAGGACCGGATTTCCAATTCTAATAGCAATCATAAGTCAAGAGTCATCTGTGTCTAGCAGTTACTAAAAAAGCTTGTCCTTTATTTTACTTGATAAGCACACAATAAAAATCTCAAGAGATGCTGTGCCAAATAATGGCACAGGAGAAATCTAATCAGATGAGGAAACATTGGTTTCAATAATGTTGCCTTTCACTTCTTGCACAGAGCTCTTATGTTGGACTTCCTTTTCCTCCAGAGTTCCTGCAGCAACTAACCAGTCCAGGAATTTAACAGGAGGCTCTCCAACAGCAAAAGGCTCCCCTCGAGATGCTCCACCAGGAGCCCCAGCTCTTACCAGTTTTGTTCCTGTTACCAGACCAGCGGTTCCAATCACAACTCCTCCCTCTCAGACCCAGCTGCCAGCAGGCTCCCCACAGATGAATAACTGTTTGAGATACTCTTCTCAGCACACAGTTACCCAGACTCGCAGTGCTGTGCAAATGGGTAGGTATAATGTACAGGCATCCTGTCCTCTGAATCTCACGTCAGAGACAGGAGTCTTTGGAATTCTCTTGTCTATCTAGGGTTCCTCAGCAAATTCCTGGCTCTGCTTAAAATGTAATCAGTAATAAGAATTAGAGTTTTACTTTGGGTTTTTGCCTGCATTGTTTAAGGTGGTATTTATTGATTGCAAGAACCACATTTTGATTATCTTGCTATCCTGTACCCACCGCAGAAGTCCCACTATAATACTTACAGATGTTACACTAATTCATTTAGGAAGCATAAAGCATCATGTATGTTAAGAAGTAAACTTGATAAGTCTACTTAACAAGTGATGTATTGCTTTAATGTTTTAAAACAGTTTATTAGGTTTAAAATATGAAAGATGTTTATTGTGCAATGCAAAAACAAGTGATACATCCAGGCCAGACTTGAAATACAATTTCTTTTTTAAAAAATAGAGTGCATACATTCTGTAATGGGCTTTTTTCCCACATGGCATTCTTTGTTCAAAGAATTTTCTGCATGCATATATCATCAGCTTTTACACTGCTGTTCATTTGAGCTTTTCTACTATAATTATATATTCCAGCAGCTTTTCAGAATCATTTCAGAAATACTTTCTGATGATCACCAGATTGCTTTCCTAACATACAATACTGATTTGTCCTAAACATATTAAGAAAAATCAGCCTCTGATCAGAAGTGCAATAGAATGGATTTGGGTTTTTAGGTGACTGTTTCAAAACATAGAATAAATGGTTCGTTATCCCACATTTTCAAGAAGATTAACTCATTACAAAAGTCTTGTTTTTAAATGGCTATATACTGCATGTAGATTCTGCTAGACATTAAGGAAAGAGAAAAACAGCTATCTATTGTATTATATTTACTGTATTGTACATCTAGTGTAAATGTTACCTCAACATCATATGATTCCAATTAGTATTTAGCTTGCTATATTTTTCTCAAACTGCAACTTCCAGACACTTACTAAGAGGAACCCCATGTAGAGCATGTTGCAATATTCAAGGTATCCAAAATAATAATCCCTGCCAAATTCATCTGGCTCAAAGATAGACATGTGCATTCTTCATCAAAGATATTATTAATGGCAGCCAAGATTCATGGAATGTTCTCAGGCTGAAAATCTGTTCTTTCAAGGACAATGCAACTCTTTCCAAAACAGTCTGATACTTAGTCCCTGAGATCAGTTTTCTGTTTCCCAATAGCACCTTGTCTTGTTTTTAATCCATCCTTCATTATCAAACTTACATAATATATACTGACTACTTCCTAGGAATTGAATGGTAATGAGCATAGAATGAGGTGACATCAGCATACAGCCAGCAAAATGATGACAATCCATTCTAAAAGTTTCGGATAATCTCTCCCAGTACCTTTGTGTAAATATTGAACTGTTAGCCCTACCAGGTAAATCAGACCAAGAATCAACTTCATGAGAAGGTTAAGACTACTTTTATTGAGAGAGGCTATAATAATAGAATCTTGCAAGTCTGATTATGCTGAACCTCCTCCCCTTCTTATACCCATGTGGATTAAGGAGATGTTTGAGCCGTTGCCACATACTTTGTGCTTGTTTTGAACTCAAGATATGTTTTTCCCTCATTCCTGGAGATGGATCGCACCTGTCTCTATCAAGGTCATCTTCCTTATTCTCTACATCAGTAGCATGGGAGATAAAATGAAATGGTCCTGTGGAACAGGGTAAGTCCACAATCTAGGTGTCAAATCACAGCCTTCCAGTATCACCTTCTGGACCCAGTCTAACAGGAAGATTCAGAACCACTGTAAAATGATACTCTCTAAGATTCAGCCTCCACAGGGCATCCAGAAGGGCTCGTCTCTCCGTATATCTTGTCCATATCCTTAAAACTCAGACAGCTAAAAACAATTCAAAATAGTAGAACAAATAATTGCTAATATAACACCTATATAATCGGTCCAAACTCAGAATTCCAACTCAAAATTAAATGAATCTGATTTCCCCACAAATAATTCAAATAATTCAAGTTGTTCACATTATTCTGGATTACTTCGCCTGTCAGAATAGGTAGTTACAGGAGAGGAGTAAATAAGACTGCTTCCTGAGTTCATATGTGAATAAGAAATGTTGTAGTTTTCAGTTAAAATATTCCATATTTTATTTTAAAAGTATTATACGAAAATCTAGTTCAATCTGATCCTGAATATATTTGCTTGGACTATGTTTATTTCTGAATTGCATGCAATTTTTCTTACTGCATATGGCAAATCAAGATATAAGATGAAAATTGTAAGCTTTTGCACAGCTGAGATGTTACTGCTTCTGTATTATAGATGAGCTATAATCGAAGAGTTTCTTTCTGAATTACGGTAGTAGTTTGAACTGTTCAAAATCACTGATTATATCCCCATTTCTATTTTGACAGTGTTTGTGAAATTATTTTTCCTCCCCTTCTGTTTCCCTACACCCTTTTTCTTTTCAGTTGTGCACAATTCTGTGCAGGCCCAGGATCGGCCCACAGCCACAGTCTCACCACTGAGAAGTCAGAATTCTCCATCTCGCCTCCCAGCAACTGTGATCAGATCACACTCAGTGGCTTCTCCACAACATATCCACCACTCTCCTGTGCATGTCATCCCTGGAGCACAATGTGCCAGACCTATTATTCCTCTCACTTCAGCAGCAGCAGCAATTACTCCTCCCAATGTCACTGCAGTCAATCTGAATGGAGAAGCTGGAAATGGGCCCATCAGTAGCTTGGTGACCTGTAGCCCAACCAACACAGCTTGCAAAACAGAAGAAAGGAAAAATGAAAAGGTACGGTAAATTATCACTTTGCAACATGGAAGAGTAGATACATTATGCTGAGCCTTAAAATAATTAATTAATTGAATTAATTTGCTTACTAGATATGTAATAAATTTCTGTCACAATCATTATTGCATTTTGATGTCAATTTTTGAAGGAACTCTGGAGACTGCATCAAAGGTTTTCAAAGAATATATATGTCCTTGGGTTATTCACTCCCGATTGATTTACTGTTTATGCATTTTTTAAAGATTTAACTTTGGAGCTGCTGACTGGTTGAGTGAGTACCTACATATTAAGAAATTCACCGTCCTCTCCATCTGTTGTACCTCTTTGATTGATATGCTTTGTTTAAATGCTGTAAATTTGAACAGCGCAGGTATACAAAAAAAGCATCAAATAGTCTTTTGCCATATATCCAAGTTCAGCCAAAATGGATTAATTAGAACAAAGATATTAAGTGAAGTGTAGCCTCAGGGCTTAGAGTCAGAGGCATATTAAAACATTGATATGTGAATGTTTGAGGCTGTTTTAATTATACTGGAAACATCTTTGCTTCTTTCAGAAAATTGCACTTGCACACTTTGGTAAAACAGAACAAGACAGGATTAAATATGACGCTGAATGTGGGATTGATTCTCTAGAGATGCAGGCATATGGGGTTCACTTTCAGAACAGTCTTTCAGTGTTAGTGCAATAACATGTTCATGAAGGCTAGTACCAAGCTGATCTAAACATGCTAAGCTGAGTAGATTCTTAACAAATACAGTACTGTATTTTGTTTTCATATAGAGTATATACATGTTGTAGCTAATCATTCTCCTGCATAGGTGTTGAATGCCGTCTATTAAAAAGTACTTGTAGAACTTCATGATTAATCACTGTTTAGAAGTATTGGAGCAAAAATCTGAGTGTGTAAAATAGTCATAAGTTTTGTTGCTAAAGATAAAGGTTTCCCTGTCCAGTCGTGTCTGACTCCAGGATGCGGTGCTCATCTCCGTTTCTTCGCTGAGGGAGCCAGCGTTTTCCAAAGACATTTTCCGTGATCATGTGGCCAGCATGGTTATATGCCAAAAGCTCACTGAACGCTGTTACCTTCCCACCAAAGCGGTAGCTATTAATCTACTCGCTATTTGCATGCTTTTGAACTGCTAGGTGGACTGGAGTCTTTTATTGCTAAAGATTATGAATTTCTAGATGGATCTTTTGTTCCGTCTTCTTCAATTTTGGGGGCCATTTTAAAAAATAAAAATACAAAAATACAAAATTACCATTTTAAAGTATAGGAGTCTTTTTTTTCAAGAGTAAGTTCCAGATAAGTAAAGAACCATATATTTTATAGATCTCTTATCTTTTAATGATCAATTTAAAGGATGGATTTTTTGTTTTTATTCAGAAAAAATCCTAAGCAACAAATGAGACCAATTCAATTAATGTTTTGTTAAGTGGATGGACTTTCTTCTTTAGCTACATTATACAGTTTTTAGGCCAACATGGTTATACATTTTAATTTATAATGATTTTTTATTTTTTATTTTTTCCTATACTGTTTCAGAACATTCCAAAATTCAGGTCCCGTTGATCGCCCTATATGGTATAACTGGACTACAGGTAGTCCTTGACATACGACTACAATTCAGCCCAAAATTTCCATTGCTAAGCAAGAGAGTTGTTAAGTTAGTTTTGCCCCATTATATGACCTTTCTTGCCACAATTGTTAAATGAATCACTGTTAACTTAGTACCACAACTGTTAAGTGAATCTGGCTTCCTCATTGACTTTGCTTGTTAGAAGGTCACAAAAGGAGATCACATGAACCTGGGACACTGCAAACATCATAACCACATGCCAGTTGCCAAGCATCTGAATTTTGATCACATGACCAGGGACCGGTTACATGGAGAGAGGTTTTTCTGCGGCCCGGAGGGAGCATGGTTTTGTGTACTGCCTCCATCCTGCGGATGGGTGTTGCAATGGTCATAAAGGTAAAAAATATTATACCACTTTTTTCAGTGCCATTGTAACTTCAAACGGTCACTAAATAAATGGTTGTAAGTCAAGGACCAGCTGTACATACCATCTTCTCCAAATGTCTTCAGAGCCTGACCCCTGCCTTGTTGTTCCATCCTCCATAAGCTGATCAAGCATGAATCAATATTAACCTCATTCAGAGCAGGGCATCTGCATAATTACAAAATACCTTTTCATGTTCCAATATTTTAGTGAAACTGGAATAGGAATAGAAGCCAAGGAAATTTGGATTACAGGGGATCAAAAGCCACCTGTTGTTTAGTGTTTGCCTTGAATTTAATTCCTTCCTCTTATCTCATGTGACAGTCTCTGTCCCAATAATCTATTCTTCTGGAAACTGAGTTGGGTTTTTACCATTTATTATTGGACTTGGGCAGGGCTTTTTTTCTCATAGAACGCCCAGAATGGAGTTCCGGCACCTTTTTTGGATGGAACCTTATAGGGTAGGCAAGGCAGGTTGTATGAAGTGTGTGAGTTCCGGCACTGGACTTGGGTTGTCATATTTCTTATTCTTTTGTAGACATTCCTTCAGTTCTTAATGTTCCTAAAATGTAGCATCTAAGATTAGTCAAAGGATTCCAGATGCAGCATGACTAGTGAAATTAGTTTCAAATAATTTTTCTGTCAGTTAGCGTGACGTAAGACTGCATTGGGGATTTTAGTAACTCCTGCTGGCTTATGATCTGTAGGCAATATACGAGATACCTAGATCTTTATTATACGCTAAACATCTATGCCTGTATTTTCTAAATGTAGTATATATTTAGGCTGAAGTTCCTATTGGAGATCTCAGCTTTGTGTTCTAATCCAGGGGTCCCCAACCCCCGGTCGGTGGACCAGTACCGGGTTGCAGCATGCCAGCAACCAGTCCACACAAACAAGGAAAGCCCCATCCGCAGGATGGAGGCAGTACACAAAACCACGCTCCCTCCGGGCCGCAGAAAAACCTCTCTCCATGTAACCGGTCCCTGGTGCCCAAAAGGTTGGGGACCTCTGTTCTAATCTATGAAAACAATTTTGAAACTTCTGTTGTTTTTTTAAAAAATCCTGTTTTGCATAGTATGCACTTTCACATAGTTATTAGTAACTGATTGAAAAATTGCTGGCAACATGTGAGCAAGTCAAATCACCGTAGTAAATTTGCTTCAGTCCATTGTCAGCTTCAGATTTTTGGAATAAAAAACATTTGTTTCTGAAGCTTCCAAGTTCCAAGCCTCCTCTTTAGAAGTTAAAACAATTTCAAGTTGAAGCAATAGGATAACTGTGGATGTGGATAATTTAGTATTACAACATTAAGCACAGGTGACAAAAAATTCAGACTACATTGTTTTTATAATTTTTTTATAAAAAAGGATTTTATAATATATACATTTATTTTGTTTATTACCATAAACCAATCTGCAGCAGTGTATTATGTGTTAAAATCACAGAATATAATTTCTTTAATAGCAGTATTTCTGATAATTACCAATATGTTATGATTTGATATCAATCTATTCTTCCTCTGACAGTTTCTTTTGATAAGTAACTTAGATATTTTCATGTCGGGTGTAACTACTGACTTGAACAAAATGATAATATTCCAGGAGCTTAATCTGATGAAGCAAATCACACTGGAAATGTTTAAACATCTAATTATTCTTTCTGTGGGGGGGAACCCTGACTTCTGATAAGAATTCTGCTTAAACTTTCCCAAAGCATATGGCACTGTGGCTGCTAAAGAGATGAATACATTGTTGGTTCTTGGAACAGTTTATGAATCCATCTTCAGCAACAGAGCATCTTTATAATTTTCTGATGTCTAAAATATACCCCAAATTAGTTGGAAGCCAGCTATTTGAAAATACCATTTGTTCCTCTAAGCCAGTAGTAAAATCTGTTCAAAATGTTAATGTAGGGTAGGGTAGAATTGCCATATGGACTTAAGGAATTATTGATTCGTGCATAATTTCATTCCTGTACATTATGCTTAAAATACTGTAGTGATTTTTCCTTTTTACCAGTTAGTAAATACCATCAGTTCTTCTCTGGTGTGACCTACAAATTTACTTATGTATTTATCTTGCAAATCTTAACACTGGGCAGTTAAATAAACATAAAAGGAAAATTTTCAGTTAAAAGATGTCAAATAAAAATAATCAACTCTTCATCAAAATTGTCAAAGAAGGCAAACAGAAATACCCAAACTCCTGGCCATAAAGCCTGAGAGAGGAGATGGACTTTCTGAAATCCTGGTGGGTGGTGAGGCTTTCCATAGACCAAGTATCACCACAGAGAAGCCCCACATTATAGCCATAGAGGTGTTCAGCAGCTACAGCTTAATCCAGCCGGGCTTAGAAATAATTCAGAGACATGGGTATATACTAGTTGCTCAGATCTACTAGAGGAGACATAGGTTATAAGTTTAATAAAATAATTAAATTAGCCATAGCTATTGAGCACCTACTACCCATCAGATGAAAGCATGATGTTTTCACACAATAGTAAATTTATTTATTTATTTTACATTTTTATTTATAGTAGCACTCCTATCAAGTTGGATCACAGCGGTTAATGTCACCTAATGATGACCTACTAAATGTTATGGAAACAATTTTATTAAAATAATAAATAGTGCAGTAATAAAAATACCGTGCAGACATAAAGGCAAAAAAGTATAACACTACCACGAAAAGATAAATAGCAGAACAAAAATAACAGCACTTATGGGGAAAACTAACGTTTTTGTTTATTATTATTTATTTAAATATGCCACAGAAGGGATCATCTAAATAGATTGGGTGAGGCAATTTAATAGTGGGCTGCCACTGTCAAGGTCCTAGTAGTTTCAAGACAAGCTTCTTTTTGATAATGACACACATAGCAGGACTTTATCTAATGAACACAACTCCACAGCTTCCCAAAATAGCATGGACTGAGCCTTCCAGCTGAATGAAATCCCCCCCAACTCTAGTTCCTTCAGCTTGTTTGGATTCACTTTCACTTTACAGGTAGTCCTCAAGGTACAAACCTAATGGAGCCTGGCCATTAAGTCAAAAAATTAATCAGACTTAATTTTACAATTTTTTTAAATCAAATTCATTAATTAAATCAAATGGGTTGTTAAATGAATGAAGATCTGACTTACTATTTCTTCCGATAGCTGCCATGTCAACTGAACTGGGAGGGTTTCCTGCTGACCGCCGATCAGCTGTTTCTAGTGAGCTGGCTCAGGAACTAAATTGCCTCCAAGCAGGGCTTGAAGCCATTAGTTATTTTTTTAAAAAAAACTGCTGCTAGCCAGCTCAAGCATCTTCAGTGGGAGGGGGGGGGGCAGCAAGCCATTGTTTTAAGAAAAACTACTTGCCAGCTTAAGAGTCTCCAGCCAGGCACCCAGAGAGAGATGGGGGAGGGATATGCAGAACTCTCGGCTTGTAATAGTAACAAAAATGGAAGGGAACTTTAGGTTATCTAGTCTAACCCACTGCTTTCACAAGAGAGTGCAGTATTTCTGATAAATGCCTATCCAGTCTCTTCTTAAAAGCTTCTAGTAATGGGGGCATCCACAACTTCTGGAGGCAATTTAAAATTAAAAACCTACAAACTACAGTAATATATGCTAATCTCCAAAATAAAACCTCAATAGTTTGCAAACACAATAGTTTGCAAAGTACAGCACTTTAAAAGCAG